CTTACACATTAAAATAAAAACTGAACATTTGCTGTTCTGCTCTTTAAAGAACCATCAGTTGAAGAATCAAATGTGCTTCTATACCAATCAAAGGCTTTACTTAGAACTGCATGCCCAAACTAAGAACCATTTAGGAACCTTTGCCCCATGCAGAGGTTCTGGAATGACTGATGTCCTCAAACAAAAACTGAGCATCTTTTGTTTTGCTCTATAAAGAACCATCTGATGAAGAACCACATCTGGTTCCATAAGAAATCTTTTATTGGACAGTTCTTTAAAGAGCCACATTTGTAAAAGAGATGTGAGTGTGAAGCTTAAAAGAAACTCCATATGATGTAAAGGTTTTATACCAATTAAAGGTTCTTCCTAGAACTGTACGTCCAAGCAAAGATCCACTCAGGAACCTTCAAGGTTGTCATTTGAGTGCACTGGTCATGTGAGAACCTCCAAGAGTCTATACCAACAAAAGGTGATTCCTAGAACTGCATATCCAAGCCAAGAACCACTCAGGGAACCTTGGAGGTTCTCGCATGACTGAGGCACTCAAATAAAAACTTTTGTTTTGCTATTTAAAGTGCCATCCACTGAGGAACCACCTAAAAAAGTTGGTGTCTTTAAAGAGCCACTGCCATAAATGAGATGAAGAAGCTTTTTTTAAAGTTTAAAGAACGTCCACATGGTGTAAAAGCTCCATACAAATTAAACATTTCCTGTAAAAACTGTATATCAAAGCCAAGAACCATTTAGGAACCTTTATTTTTTAGAGTGCATTATTATATCACAAAAATAACCTACAGAAAACTATACATAACAAATCTTACCTTACATTTTCCGCCGAAGCACCAAGAAAAGGCACACTTCACTTTCAGAGATCCATCTGATCCACATTGAAGAGCGTCAGGCGTGATGAAAGTACCGCCAAGATATAAAATCCATCATTATAAGCAAAATCCGTATCAGATCTGAAGGGACTGACTTTTGGCAATGAAACAAACTTGAAAAAGGAGGGACTGGCAACCCTCTTCACAGTGAAATACAGTTGAGTGTGGTACTGTCCAGGCTGGCATGACACGGTAACAGTCTAATATCTCTCCCTCCTCACTCTCTCTAACCCCCTCCCTCTCTTTCTTTCTCTCCCCTTTCCCTCCCTCTCTCTCCTTCTGTCCTCTGGCGATGTATTCCAGCACAAAGCTAATCTGAAACTGTCAAAATGCCAGCGCTCTGTCTCTCCTCCATTCCTCTACTCTCTACTCTCTTATCGGCTCCCTCCCTCCCTCTCGCTCTCTTTCATTCTCTCCTTCCCTCCTGCTCCCTCTCTTCCTTTGACTCCTATATAAAACATTAAGGACACTGCACAAATGCACATATCGGTGCTGGCGTTTCGAGTATCTCAAAAAAAAAAAGGCAAAAAACATTCTTACAATGAAACACAAGTTAACGTACATTAATTTTAGTTGTTTTGTACAGTATCATGCAATTTGACAGAGTGAAGAGCAGCTGGTACTTTCAAATTATATAAAAATAATTTTAAAAAGCAAAAATGGAGATACAAGGCTTTATTCTGACAGCAATGATATGAACTACATCAAGTTAGCAAAACTATGCTTCATTTTCATGCAACCATGACTACGACAAGAACAACAATGCGCTCAAATGCAAGCACCATCTTTTAAGACAGCAAAAAGGTTGCTTTTGTTAAGCTAAAAAGGTATAAATCTGTATTTCAGCCAGTTGTGGCAGCGGGACGGCACACTGAAGAAATGATTCATGCTTCATTAGTGCCTTTTAAGGCAACAGGCTTGTGTTTTGAGTGCCACTTTATGTCCTTCATGACAAAATTTATATCTCCGTACGCTGTGCTAAAATCATGCCTGTTCTCACTCCCACTCTATTCGATTAGCAGGCATTTATGCAGGCAACTCAAACAACCCTCACACCAGCAATCTCCATAATGGAGCCTCAAGACAGGACTAGTCTGTAAGAGAGTTTAATTAGCATTAACTAAGTAATATTAATGGAAAGCTTTTCTCTAACGTCACATGCCCACCATGACAATAGACTTACATATTGTTCTTATAGTCCAACAATGTTCAACATCTTCCCATAACTAGTTTTGTAAGACTTGGTATTTTCATATTCTGCTCATATCTTAAGAGGCTCACAAGGCTCATTTGCGATCACTCAGTCACGTGTTGCCATCACAGTTTGGGGTTAATTTAAGCCCCAGTGAATCACATATGTTCAGGCACACAAAGGCACAGAAGGCTTGGTCCCACAATTAGAAACTGTAAAGACAAATAAGACGGAGCAAGAGAAAGAGAAATACAGACTAATCAATGCTGGCAGCAGTATTAAACGGAGATTTCAGACTACACTTCTCTAAAGGCCTTCTGTCTACAAATATTGCAACAATACTCTTACTTCATTGTTAAGATTTGGCTGGAAACAAATGGAAAATAATCCAATCAATTTTAGTTTAGTTTAGATGTTTTTAGCTCTGGAACTGCGTGTGTCTCTTGTACTGCTGTTGTGGCTCCACAGCAGAATTAGATTTTTAGGTAAAAATAAAATAATCCTCATTTGCAGTAAAATAAAGCTCTGCTGATGGTTCTAACACAGTTTTAACAATAAATGGTCTTAAACGCTGAAGTTAATGTAGAACTGCTAATTTCCCTGCCTTTAATCCTTAAGACAGGCGTGCAGACTGCTGGTCACCATGGTAATGCAGACAACAGTCTGGCCTAGCTAGTAGGTATCGAAAAGGCAAAGAGAAAGATTTAAGACGAACATAATTTGGAGACGGATAGACTTATGTGCATTTACAGGCACTTAGCTGGTTTGCTGATACGTTTAATCTGCAGCGAGAAACTGATAAACACTGAAGCCAGCTTCTTGTTCGAATTGTCCCGTTCCACCTTAAATGGTGTAGCAGTTACATTTTGGCGCCGGCAAATCTGAATGAGAAGCCGATTTCAGAAAAAAAAAATCCAATGTTGAGAGACATTTTTAAAGAAACTATTCCACTTTTGAGGAAAGGTTTCCTGCTGGAGGTGCGAGAAAAGTGGCCGTACCTGAGCTAAAGCTTGAAGCAGAGCAAAGTAAGTCTGCATTTTGTCTATATTTTGTTTCTTAGTATATACTAGGACATGATCACATACTGAGACATATTTACAGCCAAGATGGTAAAATGGACATAAAATGTTGTGGCTCCCAAGGTGGTTTGGTTTTTACTGAAAGGACAGAATGGCTCCTCTTAACATTTGGGTTGCTAACTCTTGGGTCATGACTTCAGAAGCTGGACTACAGGCCTTACACTCTAGATTAGCTACCAACATAATCAGGAAGTGACAGTGGAATCCTGTTTTACTTAATTAATTTTAATTAATCTGTTTTAATGGGACCAATTTTGTGAGAAAAAATGGAATCACAGAAGCTCTAGATACATCACTGACTGTGACAAGCTGTAGTCTAACCACGTTTCTGGTAGTTGTTAGGAATACAAAACAGCAGTGGCAGCTATATGCCACTGAATCACTGTAAAACTGCTACATACCAGGACAAATATATGCTAGTGCATATATTTGTGCTTCAAGCTTCAAATAAAAAGTTTATGTGCAGAAGCGTCAACTTAGTACTAATACACTACTAGAACTACTTTAGGAACACTAGCTTAAAATAGCCTTATCATAGAAGTGTTTTTTTCTGCATTTTTTGACCGAGATTTAAGGCCTGAATTATAGGCCTAGCTCTAACAGTCAGTTTGTAGGCATGAATGAACTAAGCTGCAGTACCTAATGTGAATTTCACCTCCAAAAAATGAGAACCTGCATTAGCATATACATCACATATTTTTACATTTATTCCTCCTTCTACACAATTCTGAGCTGATCCACAGTTCAGTATAATGATTCATTGGGGCAACAGTTGCTATCAGTCGTGATTTAGGATTTGTTTGTCTTTACCGTTAGCTTTTAAGTTTTTGACCTCATTATTATTTTTTGATTTGACACTACAAATCCAAGCAATTTACAGGATGTTTACGACATTCTAAATTTTACTTGGCACATCTTTCTTTTCTCAACACACGCATAGACACACGCCTCTCTCTCTCTCTGTCTTTCTATCTCCAGCCTCCTGCTTCCCCGTGTTTAATTAGTCCTCTAGACTTTATCAGTGATGGCTAGACAGCATCTCAGGAGTGCCTGACCTTGGCCTTTGCAGATTAGTGCTGTGGGGTCTGGAGTGGCTTCACCTGACTGATATCAAAGCCCAAGATTAACAGCCATGCCCTGGGTCCTTCTAGTCTGGCAGAGTGGACCACACATCACATTCTCAGTCCGACTGACTGATCTGCGCTGTGAAGAAGCTCCAACCAAGAAGAGTCGAGATGGCACTACAGCTGCTCCAGTTATCATTGTTATTGACTATTTTGTTATTTGAGAGCAGCAAATGCTCACATTGGACGTTTTTGAGAGGACAAAGTTATTACGTTTTGGATATTTAACACTGAGTACATTTACATGCACCCAATAATCCGATCATAATCGGATTTCTGCAGTTATCTGATTATTCAAATTGTTGTGTAACCAGCACACTCTGATTTCTTAGATCAGAGTAAGGTCGTGTATCTGCACTTTATGCAATCCCCTATATGCTGCTGCTCCGTGCTACACTATGGGGTCTAAAAAGCAACATTTTGTTCCAATGTATACAAGTTATATTAAGGAATAACATTAAAACCCAACTGAATTGACTTGAGACATATCATCAAAAAATGAATGTGGTGAAAGACAACCAATCCCAGACTCATGAGTGAGTTGAAGTGGGTGTGATTCATACTTACCTAACAGTCCATTATAATTTCAGTAGAGTGTATTGGTAAGATGTTGGTAATAGGGATATCAGGGATAAAAGTACTTTTGGGCGGTCTTTGTGTGAAAAAGGATAAGGTGCAATAGGAACAGACAAAGGAGACGGATGGTATGGGGTCCCTACTATACCTCCTGAAGCTGAACTCTCACTTTGTTGATGGCCTTCAGCCAGCGCACTCGAGACGGGGAGAACGGCAGAGGTGGTCCATCATCCTGAAAGCTGAGACAAACACACATGCCATGAGAGTAGCTAATTTTCAGAAATGTGTAACTTACTACGTTCAAGCAGTTGCTCAAAGCTGTTTTTATGCACAACTGCAGGGACAACCCAGAGCAATACAGGATTAGGTGCATTCTTTAAGGGTACAATGGCAACACCTATAGTATGATCTGAAACCATGCACTTCATAACAGGGTTATTATAGTTAACTAAAGATATTACTAAAACAAAAACTGGTGATGAAAAAGTTCTTGTTAACTAAAAAAAAACAAAAGTTTTTGCTTTTTGCTTCTCCAGTGTGAGAATGAGAGTTCAGAAGTGAATTCTTTCTGTGTTTGGCTGTATTTAAGAAAAGCTAAAACTATTAATGCTAATTAAGGACTAACTAAAATTAAACTGAAATAAAAAACAAAAACTAATATTAATATTATTAACAATAATAATAATAATAAAAATTTCAAAACTATCATAATCACCCTGGTTCATAATCATTCCAACCTTTCAGTAAGCTAAAATTATTCAAAGAAAAAATACTAGCAAAAAAAAAAAAGGATTTGTTTTCTTTAAATAATGTTACTTTAGCATATTTTGGTAATATCAGCCAAAGGTCCCAATAATTTTAGACTTTGCTGGACAGCACATCCTTACCTTTTCAGTGATTTCTCTGGCTTCTTTTCCACTTGGGGAACAGGAACACTATCTTTCTTTAAGGTATTGCTAACACCTCTTCCAGCTTCTTGATGGGATTTCAACCCCTCCTCCTCCCCCCAGGAGGTATGTCCATTGGCAGGGTGGTGTCCATTTGTGGGTGGACGATAGCCTGTACTGTGGAAAGAGTGGTGGGACTCCTCTAGTTCCGAACATGCAACACTCTCCTGGCCATTCTCGCTGAGTGGAGAACTGGCTTGACTGAGGTTCCCTGAAGATCCAAAACGACTACTGTCTGCCGGGCTGATTTGGGTGGAGAAGAAGAAAAAAAAAGTTCAGTAAGTCACAAACCAGTTTTAAACGTACTGGTAACAATGCTAAAAAGCTATGGGATAGGGAAAGTATTGAGACAGGAGAGCAAAAGTATGGAAACAAAACAATAACTAACATACAGACACATACAAACACACACAGTTAAAAACATGTTTGATGACACGTCCAAAGGGTGGATTGCAATAATCACAACTATTTCCATCTTTTGACGCTAATATTGAAGTTAGTTCATCATAAATTGCTTCGAAGACCATTTATGATGCTACTAGCCTTTTTGCACTCAAAAGCTCCTTGTTTTCCTGCTGTAATCCTGAGGAGAGATCTGCAGAGGGTGGGGGCTGGACCTGGGATTCCTGCTCTTTTTGGGATGGAGGATCTATGTCAGGTGTGGAGACACTAACACAGGGTTCTGCCAAGTCACCTACTGGACCTAGAGTTTCGTTCTTTTGGACGTCTGCCTCAGAGGTCTTCTCTGAGCCTGACGCAGCTTCATGTTTAATTTCACTGTAACCTTTATTAACATTTTCTGCCTTTGAGACCAAATGGCTAGGGTCTACATTATTACCAGGTGCACTTTCTATACTATTTACATGATTGTCCTGGGCTTTAGGCTGAGTTGTGACAACAGAGGGATTCTGTTGCTTGGGAGGTGCTGCTGTCTCTTTTTGCCATGGTAAATTTATTTTTGCTCCGAACAAAGAAGCTGTTGTTGGTTCTTCCTTTGACGTAGCTGACTTCTCTTCTTGAAACAGACCTGTTGAGAATGACTTAAAGCCAGACAGAAGTCCGCCACCATCTGTTTGTGCCATTGTGGGGAGGCCTTTTGGTATGCTGGATGCTGAAGAAAACAAAGATCCAAAAGACTTTCCAGCATCTCCAGATCCTGGAAGGAAACCAAACGTCGGGGGTGATAAGCCAGCCATGCCAAACATGGGCTGAGATGGTTCTGATGTCAGAGGCTGTTGGACTGGCTTAGGACTTTCTGTGGGAGGTCCTGACTTCACTGTTTTATCTTCAGGTTCTCTAACAATGACAACTGACTTCTCATGTATCACTTCAATGAATTTCTCATTATTAATAGTTCCATCAGATGGGCTAACATCAGGTGGGTTCACAACTGCAGGTGCTAAACCTTTAATAGAGTCTTGCGCAGATGTAGCCAATGTATCTAATTCAGATTCTGTGTTGATTTGATCATTTTTGTTTTCAGGCAAAGGTACATTCCCTAGAGATGAAACCATATCTTTAGTTATTTTTTGATTTTGCACAGCAGATTGACTTGTGAGGGAAGGAGATGGCATTGCCTCTGTTGGTTTGGGTGCCTCAGGGGTTTTAAACATACCAAAGAGGTCAGTTTTCAAAGACTCGGTTGGTAGACTACTTGGAAAGCCAAAGAGTGAAGTTTTCTGTTGTGTCTGAGACCCTGATGTAGATGACTTAAAAAATGAAGATTGTGCCTGAGAGAAAAAACCACCTGATGGTTTGGGTGGTCCACTGGCACTAGAGAACATTTTTGACATGAACCCAGAGACCACTTCAGCTGATGAGTCTAATACAGACTTTTCTGCTTCAGTGGGTATTTGCCTGCTTTCAGCTGTTATGGGTTGTGTAGCAGTCACATTATCTTGTTTAGCCTGAGATTGAGTCTCATTGGATTTCATATCTTGTGGTTGTTCCTGTTTTTTACATTGCTCTGAGCATGACTGAGCATCAGTAACTACTTCTCTGGATGTAAGAGGCTTACTTATGTCTTGGCTTACTGCAATAACTTTTCCATCAACAGTTACTTTCTCAGTTTCAGTGGGTCCTGAGCACTCAGGATGAGGGGTGGTCTCAGGGTATGTTAGTGTGTCCACTGATGCTTGCATTGTCACTGGTTCTTCTTTACCCTCCATTTTTTCAGTAATATCAACTGGAACAGAATCAGTTGATGGAGCTACTTTATGGTCAGCTCCAGCAGCAGGATGGCCAGTATTCACATCCTGAGATTTTGATACTTCAGGTTTCTTTTCATCCATAAATGACATGTTCAGGAGGCCAAATCCTCCAGTCTTGGATTTATTATCTTCTGTGGCATCTCCTCTGGAAAATAATGAGGACAGACTGAAAAGCCCCTCAGTTTCAGGTGGTTTAGATGTTGTCCCTGTCGAACCAGGTGTGGGTGTGGGACTAGCACCACCAAACATGGAAAGCAGACCTCTTCCAGGAGCATCTTTAGCAGTTGTGCCACCAGGTAAAATACCCCCCAATAATGAAGAAGTTGGTGGTGTGGGTTGTTGTGGACTTGATCCACCAAACATGGAAAACAAACTTTTCCCTGGTAGTTCTTTAGAAGCTGAAGCCCCTGCACCTGAACTTGATTGTTCACTTTGGTCTGAGAACATGGAAAATAGACCCTTGCCAGGACCATCTTTTGGTCCTGTGGCACCAGAGAGAATTCCACCAAGTAGAGTTCCAGCCTGAGAAGCTGCACTTTGAGAACCTGAGCCACTGAACAACGATGGTAAACTCGATGTTGCTTCTTCTTTTGGTGGAACAGCTCCCTGGATGGTGACCCCAGAAGCTGATCCCTCTAGAGTGGTTGATTCAGTGTCAACAACTTCTTTTGGAGCAGTTGAGGAAACTGCAGTGGAAGACTGCACAGGTTGGGTTTCACTGGGCTGAGGACTAGGTCTAATGAGCACTGACAGTGATCCTTTACCTTGAGTTTCATTTGCAACAGATGTCCCAGAAAGTATTCCACTGAGAACAGGAGGGGGTTGAGATGGATCTTGCTGTTGATTTGAGGTGCCTTTAGGTGGAGACACGTCAGGCTCTTTACTATCTGATGAGGTACAATTAGTAGAGTCTTCCTGTTGTATATGCTGCTGTGAGATAGGAACTGCAGGCATTGAGGTCACATCTTTGATTGATGGCTCTTTAGATGGTTCATTTTTGGGGGCAGTTGATTCAGGGGTTGCCCTAGCCTGTGCGTTTTGTGGGGTGTCAATCAGTACTTTAGGTTGAGCAGAAGTCTGTGCATTTGGTTCGGAGCTCTGTCCACCAAACATAGAGAGTAGCCCTTTTGCTGATCCATCATTACTACTAGAGCCTGACAGGATTCCACCAAGAATTGATGTTGTCTGGGGCGTATTTTGTTGTGGACTAGGACCACTAAATAATGACAGCAGACCTTTTGCAGGTGGTTCTTTTTGAGGAGCTGGTTCCTGAAGTTTACTTGCACTGGCAGAATTAGGTTGTGGTGAAGTCATCTGAGGACTAGGACCACCAAACATGGAGAGGATGCCTTTCCCCTGTGGCTCTTTGGGTGGTGCTGTCCCCAGATTCTGCGCACCTGACAATGGCCCAGTTCTTTGTTGTGCACTGGCTGGGGGCTGTGGGCTAGATCCCCCAAACATAGAAAACAATCCTTTAGTGGGACTCTCACTGGAGGTGGAAGAGCCACCTAATATTCCAGCAAAAATAGAGCCTGTCTGCTGTGAAGCTGGTTCTGTACTGCCAAACATTGAAAGCAACCCTTTACCAGGATGATCTTGTCGGGGTGGAGCTCCTTGAGGTGATGGCTGAGTGGTTTGTGTTGAAGTCTGTTGTGCACTAGGACTACTAAACATAGACAGTAAATTTATGCCTGGTGTCTCTTTAGGAGGAGGGGGCCCAGAAGTTGATTCCATCTGGGATGTGCTAGATGGTTGAGTGTTGGGGCCACTGAACATAGAAAGCAAACCTATTCCTGTTGTCTCTTTTGGAGGAGCAGCTCCAGGAGTTTGTTTCAAGGATGCATTTGGCTGTGTATTCTGTTGTGTGCTGGCATCATCAAATAAAGGTGTAGTGGTTTTGCCTGATGTGTCTTTTGCTGATTCACCCTCCATTTGACAATGGGAAGCAGATGCAGTTTGAGGTGGTGCACTAGAACCACTGAACATAGACAGTAGCCCTTTTCCTGGAGCTTCCTCTTTGGTGCCTGTGGACTTTGAAATTATATCCCCAATGGAGAAGCCAAACAATGCACTTGTTGGTTTGTTGGAAGCTTCTGGTTTTGTTTGCCCAGTTGGTGGCATGGTTTGTGATCTCCCTGAAATGATTCCATCACTAGCACTAGGGGAAAATATCTGGGATGCGCTTTTACTTGCTAAATGCCCCCGAGGTGTCTGTGATATATCAGGCATACCTGAATGACCACCAGGACGTATTTCACTTGTTGCCCATTGTTTCTGAATCCTCTCAGACTTTGTCATTTGATGAGCATGCGCTGTGTCTGTTTTAGCATCATTTCTCAAATTAATGGTAGAAGGTTGATGTTGTGAAGAGGACTGCTGTGACTGAGGTGGCAGTTGAGAGGATGGGCTTTCCACATTAAAAAAGTCTCCTATTGTCCCAAAAAGACTGGACACTCCTGTGCTCTCTTTATTTGCATTCAATCCTTTCACTTCACCTGAAGCAGATTCATTTTTCTGTGGTTGCTTTACTGTAGTTTGAAAGGATTTCACATTGTCTTGTTTTGGCTCTTCCATCCCAACTGCATTTTTGAAAAAGCTTAGAAAGCCTCCTTGAGGTTGTTCAGAAGGTTTTTCACCACTTTGTTCATCTCGAGAATAAGTCGGTTTTGTAATATGACTTGCTGAGTTTGTAGAGCCCTCAGCAGTTGGTGATGTAAAAGGTAAAACAGATTGTTGAGACATCGTGGCTTGTCTAGCCAGTTTAGGCTTCTGAGTTGCACCCTGACCATTTACAGAGAATGCTGAAATCCCTGTAGGAGTTTTGGGTAAGATTCTAGAAGATACTGGAATAGATTTTGATGTCTGCTGTTTTGCACTCTGTGATGGGGATATAGCAGGAGAAGCATCATCTTTAATAATTTTTGATTTTAGAGTCTCAAGACCTGTTGAAAAAATGCCTTTGGTCTGCTGGTCATTGTGCACTTCAGAGAAAAGTGATTTCTCAGATTTCCCTTGAATAACACCAGCACGTGT